ATTGGACAAGATATCAACAATATTATTTTCTTTAGTTTAATGAAAATCTTTATAAATGAAAAAGACAGTTTGACCCCCATTTTTCAATCCAAGTGTGAAGAGCTAGGGGATTTGTTTTCTGTCATGATTTGATGCATTTCCTGATATACCATTGAAAGCAGGATTGGGGCATCTGGGCAGCTCAATTGGTTGAGTGCACAACTCTTGATTTCGGCTCATGTCATGATCCCAGGGATGTGGAATCGAGCCCCACATCAGGCTCCATGCTAAGTGTGGAGCCTGCTTAAGATTCACTCTCTCCCCCTCTGCCACTCTCCCTTACACTCTCTCTCTCTTAATAAAATAAAATAATAAAATAAATAAAAAATAATAAAAGGGGCACCTGGGTGGCTCAGTCGGTTGAGCGACTGACCAGCTCAGATCATGATCTAACAGTTCATGGGTTCGAACCCGTGTGGAGCTATGCACTGGCAGCACAGAGCCTCCTTTGGATTCTTTGTCCCCCCTCTCTCTGTTCCTCCCCTGCTTGTGCTCTCTCTCTCAAAAATAAATAAACATAAAAATAGTAATAATGATAATAATAATAATAATACAAAGCAGGATTGGCTCTACACTGTAAGGGGCTAACACATCTATTACCAAAATTTCTCCTTTTGTCCACAGGACATTTTAGTTGCAACATTTGAGTTTGGAAATGTAATTTTATTCCGTTTCATATATAAGTGATTAGAACTATACAGTAATATCTATTTATGCTGTCTGTCTAATATAACTGGGAAATTACTATTTTCAACTCAGTGTTAGTGTCTTTTGGGGAGGCAAAAACCCTTTTATTTATTTAGAAGTATTTGCCTGTCATCCTTGACTCGTTTCATTTTGCTTTTGCACCCCCTTCACCACCATGCCCAAGCCTGAATTCTCTTTTGCATATTGTGCAATTTGCTCTATTTTAGTTTTTTACCTCCCTAATCCAGGTATGGGTGTGTCTTTACATCTGTCATCAAAATAAGAGGCTTTTTTTGGGCAATGTCATTGATATTACAGTTGTTTTCATTTTCATTTTCTGAACTCTTAGAAAACATGGTCACAATATTTACAATTTAAAAATTAAACAAGCATTATGTACAAAGCACGATGGTTAATCCATAGATAAAGCAAAAGACTGTTAACACTTATGATTGCCATGCATTTAAGTTACACACTTAAAATGTATCACTCCTGAGTGACACAACAATGGATAATCCATTATTGTAAATCGCAAATCATGGTTGCCAACATCAGAAGCCAAGGGGAAAAATAGCAATGCTGACTGGGAAGGGTACAAAATCTATATCCTTATCTACTTGACTTTAAAAACGTGTTATGCATATTTTCAAAAACGTGTTATGCATATTTTCATGTGTCTGTTGGCCATCTGGATGTTGTCTTTGGAAAAGTGTCTATTCATGTCTTCTGCCCATTTCTTCATTGGATTATTTGTTTTTTAGGTGTTGAGGTTGGTAAGTTCTTTATAGATTTTGGATACTAACCCTTTATCCGATATGTCATTTGCAAATATCTTCTCCCATTCCATCCGTTGCCTTTTAGTTTTGTTGATTATTTCCTTTGCAGGGCAAAAGTTTTTTATCTTGATGAGGTCCCAGTAGTTCATTTTTGCTTGTATTTCCCTTGCCTTTGGAGACGTGTAGAGCAAGAAGTTGCTGTGGCTGAGGTCAAAGAGGTTGTTGCCTGTTTTCTCCTATAGGATTTTGATGGTTTCCTGTCTCACATTTAGGTCTTTCATCCATTTTAGTTTATTTTTGTGAATGGTGTCAGAAAGTGGTCCAGTTTCATTCTTCTTCGTGTTGCTGTCCAGTTCTCCTAACACCATTTGCTAAAGAGACTTCTTTCCATTGGATATTCTTTCCTGCTTTGTCAAAGATTAGTTGGCCGTACATTTGTAGGTCCAAATTCTGGGTTCTCCATTCTATTCCATTGGTCTGTGTGTCTGTTTTTGTGCCAATACCATACTATCTTGATAAGTAGAAACTTAACAGAGGACCATGGGGGAAGGGAAGGGGAAAAAATAGTTTCAAACTATACGCAAAGTCTTATAGGCAAACCATAAGAGACTCTTAAATACAGAGAACAAACTGA